CCAGCGTGATATCATCAAGCACTGCCAGTCGTTTTCGGGACATCCGCAGTCCAACGAACAAGTAAAGTTTCGTTGATACCTTCAAACGTTCACTACTAAAACTGCGGGGAAAACCGAGAGAGGAATTAGACGGTTGTTAATGTTAAGTTATCAGGTTACGCCTAATTTCGCTGCATCAGGCGGCAGAGCTCCAGCGGAAGCCATGTTCGGACGTGAAATACGTCTTCTAATTGATACAATATGCCATAAGGTTACGCAATGGCCACTCGCATCAGGCGTGAGCAGAAGTTTTCTACCAGGCGAGCCAGTGTACGCGTTAGATACAAGGCCGAAACACCAAACCTGCAGTGGTACGAAGAAGAAAAAGCACTGTGCTGTACGAGGTGTCTGTCAGATTGTTGTCTTTCGTTCGATACGTTAATCAGTTGCGCAAACCGATCGAGCACACAATATCTTCTACTTTCGAGTTGCCGTTCGATGTACTGCTGGACACTTTTGAACTACCAAAAACTGTGGAGCTCAGCACTTCATTCGTATGAGTCTGGAGAAAGTGCTTTCAAAGGGGATGTTACGCCAGGCGATCCGGTGCCTTAAAAGTACAACATCGTCCAATACCCTTGACCGTGAACTTCACCCTCACCCACTGCTTTACTGTGCTTCACAAACATGAGGCTGCCGACTATGCGAGGCGGCCTGTCTGACACCTCAACCTATGTTGTCGGCCGTCTTGCCTGTTTCATATGACTTGACATCTGGTCAGTACACTGTCCAGTGCGATGAAAGTCATTGTGCTGACAGCTCTACGCCCCATTGACCGTGATTATACCAGTTAACAAGCTGCTTTGCAGTGTTAACGGGTGCTTTCCGACCTAGGTGGCCAACTGAATTACTATTAACCAACACCATTCTCACCCGAGTCAGTGACGTTACGTAAACTCGAAGCAAAACCCGGCCGATATAACTTCACGAGGACTTGCTATGTCACAACAGGGAGAAGTAAAATCCTGGTTGTACGGTTCAGAATTTCTTGTCAGGCTGAATCCTCGTGGTCCATAGCTCCGGAGAACGGGTTAATTGCAGCCGGAATGGTTACGGCCTGATATTAGTCCTATCTTCTTGACCAAAATTGAAAGAACAGAGAATAAGTAAATCCAAAGACTGCTCTATTTGGACCTCGCTGCGTAAAGGGTACCTCATCTTGCTGCGTTGAAGTCATATTTCATAGCGAAATTTGTGAAGAGCGTTGCATCATACAAAACAGGTGCGACAGAGAGCGCTGAAATTTGTAAAGCTGTTTCGATTGGTACAAGTGTAAGTCTTCGCAGAAGAGATTTGTCTACTTTCACACGACGAGTCCAAGATAGTAGTAAGAAAGTTGAAATTGAAGTCGTGCAGATTGAGACGACTTTTGCCTTTCATCATTCACGGTATAATTCGAGTGGATGAAAACTAAATCAACTCTTGCTGCAGTGTGAAGCGAGGCATCTGATTTTAATTCCGAGTCGCCACTTTGTCACTCAGCTTTTTATACTTCATTACGACCGCCAATGGACATTGGAATTCAGCATACACAGTACGATCTTCAGCAACGTCGCTGGATCGTGGAATGAGCTTCCGCTGTGAGACATGTGCTGCTCAATTGTATCAAATACAGTATAAACCATGCAAAACCACTGAGTCAGCAGATGGCGCCGACATTCCGTCCAGTATTTGCTGCCGTAGGAGTTGATTACTTTGAGCGTATAAATGTACGACGCGGCCATGTACATGAAAAGACATATGGATGTGTATTCAGCCACTTGACTACACGGGCGATTCACGCTGTTTCTCATTCCAAGATAATGATTCACTTTTCAAGACTTTCGGATAGATACGATCGACTGACTGTCATATACAGCGATAATGGACAAAATTTGGCGAGGCTATAGGTGAACTACGCAACCTCCTGAGACAGTTGGACCAAGAGAATATATTGAACTTCATGTCGTCACGAGCGATTGATTGGAAGTGCTAGCAACCGTGGAGGTCTTGGAAAACGAATGATTCAATCGACACACAAGGAAGAGGATGACGAAACTGTGGAAACCATTGAAGAGGGTTGAAGACCGCCGCGGAAGTGTAAAGTCCAAGGATTATTCAGCCAAACTGGGTTCCACATTTCGGGACATGATATCCCCATACCCAAACGCTTCACTTACATCCCTACAGAAATTTACACATGTTTGCCATAAACACGCATTAGAAAACACTAGAGGTTTTCACTTCTCATTGTTGGCATATCCTTGCCTCTTCAAGGTCAACCATTTCACCCTTGAGAGACTGCTGATTAACAAACTTCTACGAAGTATCGTTTCCGCAAGCCCCCGCACGTCTTCCAGTTTCTGCCCTTTCCCATTACGATTGCAAACCTATTCGTAAATAGATTAGTCTTTAATCTGAAGTATAGAGCCACGGTAACAAGAATGTATGTATTGTTTGCTGTCAAGGCCATGCGCATAGTATAGGCTCACTAGCGTACAGTTTCCTTATCCAGTCTCGTGCGATTACTTAGTCTAGGCTTCGTATAGTCGCTATAGCTGGTTTGAGGCGGGTGGGCTCCATGTCATCTTCCGGCGGGTGGTGTGTAGTTAGTGCACGCAAGAAAGGGAAGAGCCTCTTCACACAAGTGTAGGAACCGGTCACTGCCATCAGTAAGAGAGTCTAACGCCGTGTTGGCTGTCCAGGTGCAGTCTAGCAGCGGACAGTTTTCCAACTTGGGCATTCAGATCACAGCCAACAACACAATACCCGCTTTTTCTGTAACGAAGGAGCGCGCTCAATTTGTGATAGAAGGCGTCTTTCGCCGAATCCGCGTCACAATTTGTGGGGACGTAGACAGCGATGACAAAATAGCACCGTTTGTCGCAACACCGCTCCATAGCTCTGAACGACCCAGCTAATCTGACAACGCACATCCGGCTGTTCATTAGGACCCAATCGATCAGGGCAGCCTCAGCCAGGGGGTTCAGAAGAATGCCCATACTGGCTTGACCGGCATCTGAAGCTGCGTCATCTCAGGAGAAATGCAATGAGAAAATACCGCCAGTGCCGCATGTGTGTGTGTGTGGGGGGGGGGCACAGGGTTAGCACATATCTAGAATATTGCAGGCGATTTTCCGATAAACAGCAGTTGTTGATAGATAGGGCTTTCAGTGTTCGGGCAAGTGCTGCCGGTTCGCCAATCTGAAACAAAGTGTGTACACTGAAGCATGGAGGTCGTAACGAGAAACTTAGACCACAAATAAAAATGGAGGAACTGACGTTTTCGGTTCAGTTGGACATGGACTTGTCGATTGGACCGGAGCGACGCCCTGCGATTGCGCGAAAGCTGAAGCTAGAAGACAAACGCCCAGTGAAGCAAGAAGGGGAGGGTCGAGAATTGGGGGGTTGAAAACTTTGGGTATAAAACTGACGTTGGGACGGAACGGTAAGGATGGAAAACCGCAAGAAAGATCAAGAAGACGGGAATCTGTGAGCAGTAGCATTCTCACCTCTACCCCCTGCAAGATGCAGCAGATCCGGCGCCATTGATTATCCTACTACCAAGAACGAAAGGTGAAGTCCGCACCTTAGTTCACCACTTTGTGGTTAAAATTGGGGTGGTAATTATTTCCGTAACAATGGTCCATTTTGTTGAACAGCAACATATTCTTGCCACATGGTGGTTATGCCTTAGCGCAAAACGGCTGGCTTAGGGATCCTAACTGCAGTCTGACCTCAATTTCTTTTCCCGCAGAGTATCCCAGTACACATATAACGAAAAATATGTCTCCTAAATTCGGCCTCCTCTTGCACAGCATAGCAGATTGGTGAAAACAGGATACAAATGGTGTTTCTCCTCTATTGCATTAGTTTTCAAAATAATAACAATAATAATAAATACATGTTAGCCGAAGATGAGAAACACACATCAGTTAAGGTGTCGCAATACAAAAAGATAAAAATTTACACTACAAAAGATTTCAAAAAGCAAGTAATATAATGTTAAAGGTTATATTACGCATTTCGTGTGAGATCGTAATTGGACGGGGGATCTAAAGGTGAGATCAGCGATCTCCACATGAACCACGGCAGAGCAGTAGGTGAGGATGAAGTTCATGGCCGGAGCCGCGCGATGACTTTTAAGGTACCGGATCACCGGTCGGCAACTGCAGTAGGGCGCGCGAATTCACCCAATCCCACTGTCAAACCGTGTCTAACTCATAAAAACCGTTTTCTGGGTCAATCTGCTCTCTTTTTCTGGGGGGCGCTGAACGCTTATAGCCAAAACCGGATAGGACAGCATGCTACACTTTCACACACACATTGGTGCTTCGCAAACCAGGCTTCACAAGCATCATGCGGTTATCGTATTAATTTCATCTACGTTATCTTCCCGCTAGTAGCATCTTGTCTGGAGATGCTGAAACATCGATCACATATCAAATGGGTTAGGATCCTTTATTAGCCACAGAGCTGAGTCCCTGCTGATTGATTAGGGTCCGGTGAATCGCGGTTTGTGTGCAACCGCTTTGCCATCGTTAACTGAATTTACCGCATAAATCTGAACTAGTTTGTGACTGTTGTCTACACTTTAATTTGCTACAATCCCAGGGATATCTCAAATCGCTTGGTGATGTGCACAGTTAACACTAATCAAGATTTTCGGGATTTCGCCTTATGCATTCTTAAGTATCAAAGCAAGTCATTTTAATGATCCCAACCTATTGAGCATTACTGACCAAAATCAACCATGATGTAAAGCACACAGATCACTCCCCCACCCATCGCTCACATCTTCGGAACATAAGTGCGAAGAATAACTGCATTAGAATGAGAGAAACAGATAATTCGTAAGAAAATTCACTAGAAAGAACTGAAAATAGCTGAAAAATCAACGGACATTTGATGCAGACCACAAATCCACGAGAGATATGCAACTTATAGGCCATTGCTGAAAGGTGGAGGAGCAAAACAGTACATCATACGGCTGGAGTGAGAAGCTGTATCAGCACATCCGGTCGAACCCCGGTGGGCGCAGTTCGCTCTTCTTGCTTAGAGGAATACCATTGCCGGCATATTTGTTCTAATTCTGATATTCGATGCTTTCGTTTGACATGAGGCGGTTGAAACTGATCAGAAGCCAAACGCCTTCGCTGAGCAAGGTTAGACACGGTCTGGCGTACAAAGCTGCCTAAAGAACGCGCACTCAGCACAAGTCCAGTTTGCAGTGGGCCAGCATCAAACACTCGACCAGGAGCTCGTAGCATACCAATGCGATAAAGTTTGGAACTCAGTTGATGAATGTAAATCGTAACAGGACAGTTGAACAGCTGTGTTGTCATATTGTGTACTGTCCAACCGGGGCAATCAGGGCCATGGTCAACCGGACAGTCGTCCCAACGTTCGAGCCAAACCAGTGCTACACGACCGCCTGTGGGGTCCGCTCCTGGATCACCAACACTGCTCGTTGTCTGTTGATGTACATTACGTTGAAACACGGAACCTAGATGAAAAGGATACAGATGTGAGCAGGGAAAGAGGATGTTGATAAAAATGGGAGTATTGGGAAAAAGGTGTTGAAATGTTAAGGTTTCGACGTGGCTCAATCCAAAAAACTAACATAGCACCAAAATGAAATGTGGCTTAAATAAGACTGTTTTCCGTGAGCAAATCGAATGGCGTACACCTATTCACTAATAATTGGTTTGATGGTTGGAATCAAGGTGGCACTAACGATGTTACGTGTTTACGCGATCGGTATCGTATCGCCACAAAGAATGTCCGAGTAGCCGTAGACGACCAAAATATGACCCGCAAGAGTTGTCAAGGCTGCTGTGACGAACCGGAACATCTGTCATCACAAGGATGCGGTTTCTGATCATCCCACAGTAAAGACCTCGTGCGCGAGGATGGGCTTCATGATGACCAAGAAGTGATTGATGAGATGGCAGTAAAAAGCCACGCAGATTAGAGAGAGCGCCACGAATACCAGCTTGCGGTGATTGTTGCCCAACCCCAATTGAATAAGTCCACACAGATCGATAAGTTAAAAAGAAAGCGTGAGACAAATTTTCTCGGTAGAGTTCGGAGGCTACTCCGCAGGAGATTATGCTATAGTGGAAAAACAACAAACAATTGAATCAAAACTGGAATAACTCGAATGAAGCAGCTAATTCTAAGATTGAATGTACTCTTAGAGCATTTCAAATGCAAACAGGTGAACTGAAATTGAAAGGTGTCGACACCGACTGGATTGTACTGCGTAATGAGTGAGATAGGTTAGAAAATTCGTACTATTACTGATGAGGTAAATGTATTGTGAAACACCGAATACCGGCGACATAAAGGGAAGAATAGTGATGAAGCTAAGTGAATATTTGTTATTCCAATGCTCTACATTCTAAGAAGAGGCTGCCGCTACGTGGCAAAGGTGCACTCAGATAGTACTAGACCTCGGAAGCGCCGGACAGCTAACAGATAGGCAGCGCACATTTATGTTATCAAAATGGGTGTACCTCTGCGATCAACATTAGGCTGCTGTAACTGATGAGAAAATGGTCAATCTAGCAACGCGTATGCTAAAAAGTGGTACCGATGAATGCACGGTGTATGGCTGATAAAGTCGATCGTCAAGGTCAGTACAAAAGCAACAAGTTCGAAACGGGTGTTGTTCCGACTGCGAAGCAGCCCAATACAACTTACGGCCATTCCGAGGTCGTGCCCTTGAGCGAACGTGCATGCTAATCGCTCACTTGTGGTTTTTTCCACTGTGGCTCAGCGGCATTTTGTCGTACACCTATGGAAGGCGGACTTTAATGGCCTCACTGGAGCAGCGAGCCAGATGGAATGGTCGTTACCAGAAGATTCGTCTGTTAAAACCTGTTGGACTATAATAAAAGAGCGAGTGAAATTACTGTGCGCCCGATTTGTAGCCCCCAAGTATCGGAAAGTTGGGCCAATCAAGTCACATTGGTATGACAAGGTGTACAACAAACTGGCCCGACGACAACGCAGAATATGGAACAAATTCGTGTTGTCTGGCTCTGACGAGGATTGCAAGGCGTGCAAGGTACAGCGAAATCTCTGCGACAACGCGAAAACAAAAAGCGCAGAAGCTTCGAAGAGGAGCTTGCATCGGCTGCAAAAACTGCACCCAAGAGGACCTTCGCCTTCGTGAGGCGGTTCAAGAGGCCTGCAGGCAATGTGCTAGTGTTAGAAGTCACTGATGGACACCCCCTAACCCCGAACACAGCTCGTGCGTCGGCATCCGCGGTGCACTTCGCTTCCGTGTTTGCAAGTGACTAGGTGCCTGTACCGAGTTCGATGGGTACTACCCCCGCTGAACTAGACAGCCTGGATTGCAGCATTGAAGATGTACGCATGCTGCTGGCAAGTCTTGACGGGACGAAGCCTGCCGAACCAGATGGAATCAACCCACTGATCCCCAAGTCCCGATCGGCAATCATTTCGCCTTCTGCAACCGAGCTGTTCAACAAGTCATTATCCATTGGTGTACTACCGGGCGACTGGAAATGCTCAACAGTAAAGCCCATACCGAAAGGTGGTGACCCAAGCAAAGTGGATAACTACCGGCCAATCTGTCTGACCGCTGTTTTGGCAAAGACGTTTGAGAAGATCGTGAAGAACGGTGTTCTTCAGGTTCTCGAGTCAAAACGCATCTTGACACCTGCACAGAATGGTTTCGAAAAAGGTCGCTCGTGCATCACCAAACTATTGTTGATGAGGCACGAATGATTGCAAGCGCTGAACCAAGGAAAGTCGGTCGATGTCGTTTACAATGACTTCAGTAAGGCTTTCGATAAGGTGAATCACGCAGTGCTCCTCGACAGCCTGAGGGTGTGCAGTTTTGGCGACCCGTTGAACAGATGGATCAGAATTTTCCTTGTTGATCGAAAGTAGACGGTGTAGGTCGACAACCATTTGACCGACTGCTAGCCATCGAGTAGTGGCGTGCCCCATCGCACTGCACTAGGGACGATTTTGTTTCTGATCCATGTAAACAATGTGCTCCAGCTACTCCAATCACCTCGTGGGTTGTTCGCAGCTGACTAAAAGGTGTTGTGAGTAATCCGCGCACCCAATGATTGTGACCTGCTTCAGCAGGACCTCGACCGCCTCTCCATGTAGTCTGCAAAGGTCAACCATCCGATCAACCCGGTCAAGTCGCAGTTCATGAGGCTGGGTAAGTGTGAGCACAGTCGAACCTACACGATGGCAGATCAACCGTTGCATCCCGCGTCTCTCGTGCTAGACTTCGGTGTGCTCTCACGCTACGACCTAAAGTCGATGGACAAGACGAATAGGCTTTGCCAAAACAGTCCTCGTATGCTTTGGGCGCTTAGGCGCAGCTACAATACTTGGTCCGAAGAGATTGCCATTCGCCTCTTCATCTCAATAATACGACAAATGCTAGAGTATGGCTCTCCCGCGTATTGTCCTATCACCCGGGGCAAGGTAGAAAAGATTGAGCGAGTGCAGCATGTGGCCACCAGACCGATTCCTACTTTACGAGGTGTGTCGTACGAAGACCGGTGTAAGAAACTAGGGCTTTACATCCTAGCTGATCGTGGACCTCACCATGAAGTACCGGATATTACATCTGGGTGATTACCACATGTTGAGGCCGCTGCTTCATCTGCGCACACTAGGCAGCACACGAGCAGACCGGTACAAGCTTGTAGTACCGGATTTGAGACGGGTCACCCACCAACTCTGTTTTGAACGGAGAGTGGTGAATGTATGGAACAACCTGCCGTAGCACGTAGATGAAGCAAAATTAGTATCGGAGTTTAAGTAATTCCTGGACAAACACTTTGCCAATAGAAAATATATCGAGCGCAATCCAACATAACGGATATTTGTCCCTGGGTGATATTAGATGCAGCTTCACAGGGATATCTTCCTGCTGCTTACAATCAGTAACGAGTAATCTATACTTATACGTCGTGGTTTTAAAGGCTCCATCTTGTGATACCATTTCTGGAGTACACTCCAATGCATACTACATGTGCCCTGAATTCTAAATTCCGGGCAAGCCGGTATTGGTGAAAGTTGGGTTACGGTTGCCTCCAAGAAGAGTCGTCATTTAACATCACCCCTAAGTGGACCGGAAAATGAGGAGCGTAGCGGAGCTTTCCTAGTGTAAGCACTACAGGTTCCCCGCGGTACATCTCCGAGTACTTCAATCATTAACTGCGACATATCGGAAGGTGTAAAGTAACAACTAGCTGTACTCAGCGTACTGTGCTCCAATATCCCAGAATCAAAGTCGACATCAATAAGAAGTAGGCAGTTGGATGACCTCAACCAGTGGGATATTATTAGTAACCTAATCGGAGTTGTACTGAAACCTGTGCACGTAGTGTGCATTACGCGACACCCCAACTCTAAGCATTTTGGAGAGCCAAGACTTTTGCGCGTTGTGCTGAACTCCATCACTAAAGTAAAATCAGTACTACTGTCGACAGGTAGTCTCAGAAATGAACACTATTCCGTCCGTATCTTTCCAGACATCTCATGGGGCGAGCGCTATCGAGTTAACCGCACCTTAGAGGACTACCGGAAGAAAACTTTAATCAGTACCATTCCTCTTCACGGGGTTCCTGAAACTGAAGCATGTGATGAGCATAAAATAACAGCCTATGATAAAGAACAGTGGTGTTATATTCGTGAAAGACTGCTTGGATGATGTGCTAGGGAAATCCGTGTCACGGTGCGTACCTCACCAAACTACAAAGGAAGTGGCTCAAGACTGTTGGAGGTGGTCTTACAGTCAAAACATATCGTACCCCGGCTGCTAAAAGCTGGTACATGTTTCGTTGCAAGCTACCATCTGAGCTTCGGTTGAAGACAGTCAGCGATATGATTCCTAGAGATGACATGTCACTCAACGAACCAAACGCAATGGGATCTATGAAAGAACAATGCACCAGTAGTGTGTCTAATGAGTCCATGTAAGTTGTTGAAGATGATATTGACCAGACACCTTACAATGTACGTCGAAGATTAGACACGGGACTAATTTGGCGGACGATGAGTAAGACGTCGAACCCTTCGCCAAGTAAACACCGAAAAAGCGATTAGTCATCGACCACTCATTGGTCGGCGAAACTTCACGTATGAGTTGCACAACCTCCGAAACATTGCTCAAATCTGGGAAACTTTCATGTATGTACACTAACGCCCAAAGGCTCCTCAGTAAACTTACCGAACTTCGGCTACATCAGGCTACCAATGTTTGGAACCTAATTTCTATTGCCGAAACATGGTTGCATCAGGAGGTGACTGAGGCTAAGGTTGAGATAGCAGGAATGTCACACATCCGAAACGACTTGCAATGTACAATAGTTGATGATCTGGAAACTCACGTTACCGACTCACTCAGTTGCAGTGTCCGAGTAAGACACAACGACGTATATCTCGTAGCTGTCGTTTCACGCTCTCATAATGTCCATGCCGGAATTGAATTCCCGCCTGATATGTGCCTTGAAAAGCGTCACGCGCACTGGGCACAGCTACATGCACATCGGGAACTTCAATCTACACGATCTGGAGGTATCGGCATCACTCAGCGAACAGTTTAAAGCAAAATTGCATGAACTTATCGCTAATATTACCTTGTACGATCATGTCACTACGGCCACTAGATTCAGGGCAGCAAACAAACCGTCCATATTGGACCTGGTGCTCACGAATGAGAAGCTCATGGTTTATAAGTTAGTGATGGAGAGTCCGTTAGGTCTCAGTGACCATGTAGTAATAACGTTTAACTATGTGTGTAATGCAGTGTAGCCATCTGAACACTTGGAACTAAATCATACAATCACATGCTAAGTCTTGAAAGAACTGGTTGACGCATCTGCTTAGGAATTATCAAACAACAATCACGTTGACACCGTTTGGACAGAGTTCACTGAAAGATGCAGCGACATCGTCAACAGAGCATTAGAGACCAAGCCTCTTCGTCCCGCAAAAGTGCTTTCAATCCTAAGGAGCAGGACTCGAAAATGCATGGGGTGCCTATAGGGTTAACCTCGACTCATAGACTTCGGGCAATTTCTTGACCCATAACAACTATTGTGCTGCACTTCTCCGTGAAGACGAAGTAACTTATCAACAGTGCCTAGCCAAAAAATTCCTGGCAAACCAACTGCTGTATAAGTATATCAACAATCTTAGTAAAGTGAAGCATAGAATCCCTCCACTTTTCACGATAGACGGTAGAGTACAAAGCACCGAAGAAGCAGCAAATGTTCTGCGGCTACAATACGCCCCAATTTTCAAACTCGCAGCCTCTACCTGTCACATACCGTCAAGCATATTACCGACTCCAATGTTTACACATGTAATTTTCAGCCTATCAATTGTGCTAAGGGAGTTACTTTCACTGCGTAATCATAGCTCTCTGGGAGTAGACAACATCCGCCTGAAGACACTGAAGGTTACAGCCAGCAAGCTAGCTGAACCACTGTCACAGTTCTTCCAAAGGTGCTTCGATGAACAGCAAGTCCCTACCATGTGGAAGGGTGGCATTATCACCACAATTTTTAAAGGCAGTAGCCGTTCAGATCCTGCAAAATATCGCCCAATGACTCTCCATTCTGTGCTCGCGTAGGTGATGGAAGCGGTCATCGTTGAGGCTCTAATGGACTACCAGGAAAAATGCAACATCTTGGCACCGCAGCAGCATAGCTTTCGTCAACACTGGTCATGCACAATCAACCTGCTGATTGCACTAGGTAGTTGGACGGAAGTAGCTGATGATGGGGTCGGAGTTGATGTAATCTACCTAGACTTCTCCAAAACTTTCGACCGTCTGGATCACCTTATCCTACTTCACTGGCTACAGAGCTACGGAATCGGAGATCCTGTTCTTGGTTAGATTGGCAAGTTTCTTCACCAACGGAAGCTTCAAGTACGCGTTAGGGGATCGTTCTCTAACCCGATTGAGGTAGAATGTGGTGTTCCACAAGACTCAGTGCTGAAACCGTGCTTATTCCTGGCGTGTATCAACAACCTGGCAAGAACTATCTCCTCAAATTTTCTACTTTTCGCCGATGACGTCAAGATATGGCAGGCGATTAGGAACAATGGAGATCACGATCTACTGCAACATGACTTAGATTACACTTATGAATGGTCAACGAGGAACCTGCTCCATTTGAACATAGCTAAATGCAACGTGATCCATCTGCGTCACCAGCCGGTGAGCATTTATAAGCTTGGAGACCACACTTTGCAGGTCTCTCAGGAGCGTGACCTGGGCGCGTTGGTACACGAAAATCACAGATGCTCAAAACAAACAGAGGCGTCGAGAACCGAGAACCAACACCTTGGCCTTCTTTGCAGAGTGTTCGGTCAGTTGGAACCCTCAACATTTCCTCAAATGATTAACGCCTACTTGCGACCGCACGTGCAATATGAGATCCATGCGGGGTAGCCGTGGGAGAAACAGGATCTTGTTGCTCTCGAGACTCCTCAAGGAAGGGCAACCAAGAACGTCAGGGGCCTCTTTTATCTGCCCTAGCAGCTTAGACTGAAATCTCTAAGAATGTTCAGCGGTCGATATCGGCTTTTGCGGGGGGATCTCATAATGATTTACCAGATTCTGAAAAACCCAAACCACATTTGCCGTCCGCTTCTGGAATTGAACCACAAGTCTAACCTAAGAGGTCATTCTCTGGAACTGTCAATACAGTATAGCCGGCTTGAATGCCGTAGAAATTTCTTTTCCCAGCTTTGGAACGTCCTCCCTAATTATGTCGTCTCTGCTCCCAAGCTGGTGATATTTTAAAAGGGAGTTGACGATGCATTGTATTATTTGCATTTCAGGGAGGGCTACAAAACACATTCAAACGTTGTCTTAGCAAACTCCCAACTAATGGAATGTATACTTTTAACACGCGTACATCTCTGCCACTTAACTTAAGTCTTTGGTTAGTCCAGCAAAACCCTTCTCATTTTAGCATGCAAGTTTAGTTTCGCAATAACTTCTGTCCCACGGGACTTGTTAAGCATTGCTTTTTTACCCGTAATACATCATTGTCCCCCCGTTCCACCGGTAAAAGTTAGTAGACGACAGGATTCATTTTAAACGGCGACCAGACTACCGCGGAGGGTAACGTACGCTGGAGAAGTGAAAGGATACCGTGCTAAATGGTTGCTCATAAATGTTATCCGTATGTCGGCACTTAACCATACTCAAGCGAAGGTGCAGTGTGACCAATTCGAGTAGGCGGAACGTGTTTAGTGTAACACGGACACTATATATACAATGAGCCAAAAAATGAACAACTACGGGGAAGCAGAGACAAACGAATCGCGTGGGGAAATCTATCTTCGCTGTCCCAGTACAAGTACAGTTAGCGCGATTCCGATTGAATAATCGAACCAGAATTTGAGGAGAGGGATCATAAGTCCATTCTCTACGAATCAACTCCTTGATATGTGATCGCAGATAGCCGTATAACGATGCGAACACGAAGGATTTTGTTCAAAAAGCTCGATTAGCCTCACATTGGCTTACATAGCTAACATTAAATCAGATGAGGTGAGAAACCGCTGGGCGAATGACACTGGGTAACAATGATGGGCTCACCCGGAACACTGCTGGACGAGTAAGATCCGTCAGAGGGACCACCAGCATTGTCTGCTGACTTAGGAACTGACGACATACTCAAATCCGTTGGACATATGCAAGCGAGTTCGGTCAATGCATCCGATGTGTAGATGATAAAACTGAGCCCATCAGGAACGGTATCGGTCTCTGCAACTTTGGTTTCATCAGAATCCAAACGTGCGCATACTGCACGATAGCTGGTTTCTATCCGACCGGTCCAGCCAGGATGATCTGCTAATGAAACGGTAGAACCGATATTCTTTAGGAGCAACCGAAACTCTGCTGGTAGTCGGTCCCACTTTCCCTACAAGAGAAAATAAACACTATCAAGCATAAAATAATGTTGTTGTAGAATAAAAGGCGATGAAAACATAACTCGTATGAAAAAGAAATCCAACCGGTTACATAATGCTTGCAGTGTGTGTCAGGATTTCTTCGGAATCCGACATATCTCGATAGTTCCTCAGTGTAAGTAAAAAATAACACTTTAAGCAACACCTCGATTTTGCGTTGTTCGAAATCCGTCTATTCCCCATGTAAGCAGTGTCAGTTTTGTTTATTTTTCGCCTAGTTTCCGTATTTGTGCCATTGTACCTCCCATTTCTTCTATTGTGCGAGAAAAGTGTAAGAATCTTGATCTTACGAATAGGAAAACGGTTATGACCACCTGTGTCAGCGTCAAAAATGTACCCAAGTTTGATGAAGAGACGCAAAAGCGTCCTCCCGATGAACTGACCAAAACGCTGGCTAAAACTAATTCCCTTGAAAACGAAATGAAGATTCATTGCTATCTACTAATGGAAATATAGGAGAGATTATGCTCTTTGCTAGGTTGGCCGATGTTTGCAAATCCGATAATTCTAATGGGCTGAAAACGGCTCACGATGTGCTTCAAACTATTACCAACGAAGTTGGTGTGCGAGCTCAACGTTCCTTCAACGTAGTCATCTTCAATGTTACGGACTGTCTAACTCTCGACAAAGTGAAGAGCGCATTGTTGTGTGCGAAATGCCACTGGAAAATTGCACCTGTAAATGAAAGGGAGAAACGACGTCAAGACAAAGCTGTCCCATCGTCTTAATCTTCAAAAGGCGAAAATTAGCCAGAATCTTCTCAGATAACAGATGTAACTTGAGAACGCAAGTGAACGTTGGTCAAAGCTTAGTTACACTCGAAAAGACGCCTCTACAAGGATCTGGTCTGTTATCAGGTGTGGTTCATGCTGAACACAGAGCACAATTTATACTCGCTAGACTATGACACCAAATACAGGTTAAAACTCACCCCCTAGGCAAGCAACCAAGATACGAGAAAACAAACAAAAGCGCTGCGAACATCGGAAGCTTAAGATGACACCTTAACATTTACACCATCCCATTGCGAAGATTTCAAAGCAGCCGTTGCTGTCTCCCTTCTGCGTACCACTTTTACGCCACCTACTGCGGATTTATAGGTTCTACCGTGCTGTTATCGCATTTTCCTTCATCTGGATCATCTTGAGGTCATCGATGATACCCTACTAGATCGAGTATTTGAAATCGTTCCGGGACGCTGCGCGAAACACCCTCTATACCGCATGTGGTCAAGTTGGAAGGACTATCAGACGGACTTGTAAAACGAGAGCACCGTGATGGCTAGCAGGCTGGAGTCAAACACTAGCCTACAAATAAACCGCGAATGCTCTACTTGGTAAAATTGCCGATAACAATGTCACTATGAAACGTAAGGAATATGCGAACGCTATGTCGCCCGTATATTCTGTTTGTCAGTCGGTCAACTAGTTGAACTACCACTCCGGCAGTCTGAAAGAACCGAGTCATTCATGATCATTTCGAGAACAAAGTTGAAGAGGGAAGCAGATATAGGACAACCCTGACGAACCATACTTGTCGTGGGGAACTCAGGAGACGGTTTCCTGTAGACTCTTGACCCTAGGGAGTCATGGTAGAGACTGCATAATGGAAAGGTATTTTGCCGGGCACGTCCATCATGGATAGGCAGTGCACTAGCCAGCATGGTCGACAGAGTCGAAGATGGCTTTCAAAAAAACGAAAACTACCATAGTCGGTCACATGTATGTGTCTCTACTCTAAAACTTGGCGAAGCAAATGTGTGATCGACACAACCACGACCAGAGCGAAAGCCTGGCTTGCCGTTATTCGGTTCTCACGGAAACCAGTAAATCGTCAGAGAATGAGACCCGTGAGAAACTTGGAGGCAATGGAAACAGGGCTAATGCCTCGATGAATTTCGCATGAAGTACGCTGACCCTCCTTAAAGATGGTCACGACAGTTGACATCTGCCAGTCTAAAGGCGTCGCTTCAGTGTTTCAAATCATGCTGGACAGACAAGTAAGTCCAGTAAACAAAGAGCCACCACTATCTTCCAGCAAAGACGCAAACAGTTCGTGGGATCAGAAGTCTTGTTTCGCTTTAATACGGAAAGATCATACCGAATCTCTTCCAAAGTGGGAGGTATGAAATCTATTTCCTACGTTGCCTCAGGTGATTCGGCAAGCGACAGTGTCACAGCAGGCCTGCTGGATTGCTCTTCAAAATGTTCCGCCTAACGGCCTAGCCGAGGACGCTGAGAATGGATCAAGTGTCCATCTTTCTCAGCTACTGTTCCACCAACAGATGGCTATCTTAGACCTGTGATCCCGATGAGCTCGAATAGCACTCAGTTGTTCCCCATAGCAGTGATTTTCATCATCTCATGGACTCTTGTCACCCACCGTTCCCGGTCAATTCGAAGACTTCCTGTCAGACTTCGTTTCAGGGAGTTACGGAAACGTTGAAACTCAGTGTCCATCGGAACCTGTTTCTGTGCTTTGATCAAATTGGTAGATGCTTCAGACATACATTCACAGTTACGGGGTATCAAGTTGGGTGCACAAAAGGCATAAAGGGCACTTTTCACTGCACACTTGAGACGATCCCAGTTAGCGTTCGGCTCACCAACCTCACCGATCACTGACAATTGGTGGACCAGTTCGTTATGATATTGTCGAACTGAAGAGTGCGAGTTCAAGTTAAGTAGGTTAGAAGATAGGCACTCCTTTGAAGCGGGAAGAATGAACGTCAGGCGTGCGCGCACTAGAGCATGGTCGGAATCCAGACATATCATGCAAGCTGGTCGACAGTCTTGGACTGATGTACGCCATTTGTACTGATGACAAGGTGGGCGACTTGGGTCCAGGTCACTGATGAATTCTGCGGGCGCCAAGTGATGCAGTGTGAACGTCTGTGCTGGAAAGCAGTGCTGTTAAGGTAAAAATTGTGGTCGGCGCATAGATGCAGGAATGGGTCACCATTGTATGTTTGGCGGCCTCCCAGGTGTTGTTCGGAGTTCGACTGGCGACCCACCTGGGCATTCATGTCACCAGCATCAATCAATATGTCAGTATTCTTCCCCATGCGAAGGAGAGCTGTTAATAGAAATCGACTTTGATGCCCTCTGAACTGCATCCAGTAGAGGCAAAAACTGCGGTGATAAAATGATAGTTTGTCTTCAGACGCTGCTTATTAGCACCAATAGAGGTTGTTTACCGGTATCCAGTCGAGCAGATTCTGCTTCCATACCAGAGAAGATAACAGATTCGCGATTGAAGCGCAGTTTGAAAACGTATTCTCGCAGACCTCACAACTAGTTTCGTTCTCAAATATACACGTCGTCAATAGTGCATGCCCATTATCAATATCGCCGTCCCGTGAATCATGAGCATATTCAAGATTTGAACCGCCTTGCTACTAATGATGAGGTCCTACTTTCGGGAAAGATAAAGAATTTGGGTATCGTCATCGTAAAAAAAATCGGGCTATCTTAATAAGATGAACAATATACAGACAGATGCGACGTTTTCGAGTCTTATCAACAAATGCCTCAAAAATGTCAAGAACGATAGTTATATTACAAAAGAAGTCTGTGAGTATTGCGCAAGTGGGTGCGGTTATTACAAGGCTCTACAGTCTACCCAAAACGCATAAGCCAAATGTTATTCTGAGGTCAGTTTTAAATATGAAGGGTTCACCGTACCACTCTGCCGCACGGTGGCTAGTTGTGATACTTGAGACCATCACAAAACGGATAGCAGCACACAGCCTGAAGGATAGTCTCTAATCCGTAGATGCCTCGAATCTGACCATGTGTTCTGGGGGTGTCACCCAATTGTTTACAAATATTCCAATATTTAGGACAATAAATTGCAGCTGCTGATAGGAGCGAGATGAATATCTGCATACCCACCGTGGCCCTGAAGAAATTGTTGCTCAGGTGTGGGTTTAACGTTCAAATTATATGCAACAAGGAGATATACCGGCAGCTAGATGCGGTGGCGATAAGTTCTCCACCTGGGCCGATACTAGCTGATATTTTCTTGGGCTTGCTTTAACAAAGCAGTATAAAAGCAACTATCGCAAGTCTTAAATTATACCGCAGTTGTGTTGAGGACGTCTTGTTGATGTTCCAGTACACTCAGAATACCAAAACGCTTGCGAACACTTTTATCCGAGCCCATGCTATCGCGGAGACAGAAGAAAATGCTTGTCTTCACTATATTGGCGTAGGTCCAAAATACAGGATAACGACATGTTATGGAGTCACGTAGATAAAAAAAGGCACGTGGAACAGACAATACACCAAGTTGCACAGCTTCGCCACACTGAGGTTAAAACGGGAGTTAATTATTAACCTAGTTAAACGAGCCGGAAGAATCTGCTCGCATGACACACTTACAGAGGAACTACAGGGAATATGCTCGATGCTGCCAGGAAATAACCATCCAGACCATCCAGACCATTAATGTTCCCCTGGAGCAAAGGAAGAAGACCCTAGGGGTTTTGACAGCCAATTTGAAAGTAATTTTCCTACAATGTCTGTACAAGGGGGAAATCGAATCAAACATTCTTACTCGCCATCTCGCACAGGTGTTCAGACATAAATCCCCAACAGCGAGAGTACAGACCTACACACCAGTACACCGATGGTAAAGCTTATCTCTAAAGATAGTAGACCTGTCCACAACAACTTCATGTGCATCTACTTAGTTACTTGTCCACGTGGAGCAAAATACATCGAGCGTACGATTAAATGTCTACCTGAGGGAGTAAAATATCATCGTTTTGCATGGCTAGCAGGTGCAATCAGAAGGGTAACACTTACATCGCGACCACCTCGCCAGTACAGGGCAGCCGACGCATACAAAATTACTTATGAGTAAAACGACCTTTGATGAAATTCTACTGATTCATCCCAGCTGCTCAGAAGCGAGATAGTTTAATCACTTTTTGAAAAAGCACAAGGCC